AAGGTAACGGTTCTATGAGAGAACATGTCGCCGGTGAGACGCAAGTCGAGGAAGAACGGAATAAGGTAGAAACAAAAGAAATTTCCTGATGAAAGAAGAGAGTCTACTCTTTCTTTTGGTGTGTTCGGTGTTTACATAGTCATAGCACAAACTATTCGGTGGCTCTTGAAAAATCAGTCAAAATGCTCAAAAAACTCTGGCAGTATGGGACTCTGTGTTCTGAAAATGGCTGGCAGTCAATGAGTTAATTAGGGAAAATAAGAAGAAAAAAAAAAGAATCCCGAGTAAATATTGTGTAAGCTAACGCCGTAATTCCCCGTGATTACTAGTTCTCTAAACGAGGGATTCCTCTTGGGCTGGACTATGCCACACTAAGAGTTAATTACAAACCGAAAAACACAGATTTTAAAGTCCTCTCTCTTTTTCTCGTGTTTCCCAACCCTCTGATTAGATCGACTTTCATCCCAAAGGTCACTCCTGCCGGTCGTCATTTCCCAAGTTGTGACCCAACCTAAAGGAAGAAAGTCCATCTGGTGTGGTTTTATCTGAGCCGCATCGTAAATAACTGCCATGCAGCAGCCGCTTTGAGTCACTCCGTTTGCTAGAAATGACGCACGGCGATATATCGAACAAACGCTAACCAGACAGCATCCTTTGCTTGGTTACATTTAACCCTTTAAAGCCCGATCCAAGAATAAAACAAAACAGAAAATTACTTTTTTTCGGTTTGAAGTCTTTATTTTGCCTTTTAACAAAATATGTAAAAAGAAAAAACAGAAATACATTTTTGATATTAATAATTTATTACTATACGATAAGTCAAGATTATTTTTTGTATAGTCTTCTACTGGCTGTTATCAGGTGTATCTGATTTTGAACAAAGTTTTTACCATTAAATTATGCAAAACGTGTCAGAGGCAAAACATTTCAGAAACCGTATGTCAAATACGATACTATCATATCATATCAAATATGATAGTTTTGGCATTATAGGGTTAAAAGCAGCATGAGGCCAGAAAGGGAGGGAAAGACGGGGGGATTTCTGATTATTCGTCAGGGGGAAAAAAACAAAGGTTAAACATGTATTCAACTCAATTTCATTTATACAGTTATCTCACAGCTTTCCAAAAAGAGCAGGTCAGACTGACTCTGAAGTCATTCACAGAAACCCAACAATTCCCACCAAGCACTAGGCGACACAGAGAAAGAAAAACTTATATACAGTGGGGGAAATAAGTATTTGACCCCTTGCTGATTTTGCAGGTTTGCCCACTTACAAAGAATGCTTATTTTTCCTCATCAGATGGTTATCAATTTTTATAAATTCATATGATGTGATTTTCTGGAGGGGCGGCACGGTGGTGTGGTGGTTAGCACTGTCGCCTCCCAGCAAGAGGGTTCTGGGTTCGAATCCCGGGGGAACCAGGGCCCTTCTGGGTGGAGTTTGCATGTTCTCCCTGTGTCTGCGTGGGTTCTCTCCGGGTTCTCCGGCTTCCTCCCACAGTCCAAAAACCTGCATGTTAGGCTGATTGGAGATTGGGGAAATTGCCCTTAGGAGTGAATGTGTGTGTGTGTGGTTGTTGGTCCTTGTGTGTCTCTGTGTGGCCCTGTGATGGACTGGCGGACTGTCCAGGGTGTACCCTGCCTCTCGCCCGTTGACCACTGGGATAGGCTCCAGTTCCCCCCGCGACCCCATGAGGGAATAAGCGGTATTGATAATGGATGGATGGATGATTTTCTGGAATTTTCTTTGGGATTCTGTCTTTCACTGTTAGAATGTACATATGATTAAAGTTATAGATCGTTGCATTCTTTGTAAGTGGGCAAACCTGCAACATCAGCAAGGGGTCAAATACTTATTTCCCCCACAGTATATACATACTGTATATACAGGACTTTCTCAGAAAATTAGAATATTGTGATAAAGTTCTTTATTTTCTGTAATGCAGAAACCCAAATATCCTATCTCAAAATATTAGAATATCAGATTTTTGAGTTTTCTTCAGCTGTACGCCATAATCAGCGATATTAAAACAATAAAAGGCTTGCGATATTTCAGTTGAT